ACAGGATCTCTGCCAGGCTTGCTGCCACTGATATGTTTCATGGCACAGTCATGTGGACTCTGGCTTAGTCTTTTCAGACAGTCTCAGCACTAGTTAAAATATCTGTCAGGGGCTTGCTTAAAACAATACTCGAAACAGAGACTCTTAAACCAAAGCATCTGAGGTAAGTGGCTCACAAAACATTTGTGTCAGTGTAGTTTCCGAGACGCGACTGTGCTGACTTTCTGGCCCATTCCCCCCGCCTGGCATGCTCTGATCTCTCTATGCTTTGCAGTCTCTACAGCACGAGTCTCTCTGTGCCATAATACCTTTCTTTTTCTAGATGTGCACACTGGCCAAATAATCTCCTCGTGTCTTGACTGACTGCCGTTTGAGATTATTTCCCAATCTAGCCAGACAGCATGGGCTTAAAACTCTTAGCATGGATACGTGGCGTGCCACGCCCTCCTCTCCCACACACATTCTGCAGTGCTTGCTATGGCTTTTCCCTCTCCCCTCACACCTTTGCTGCCGGACAATCATTCCCTGTGTCACAGATGGACTGTCCTGGTGCTGTCCCTGCTTGCCTTTCCGTGCCGCAGTCTGTATGCTCTTTAAGTGAATGTGTTTTATTTTTCTCAGTAGGTAAAAGGACTTCCTTCTGCTGAAGGAGTTATATTTGCACATGGCTCGGGGAGGCACCTCCTCTTGCCGTTTCTGTTACCTCACTCATTTAGGCCAATTCCATTGCTAACGTTAAAAGGCCACCTTCCCCAACCCAAACTCCGAGAACAGTTAGGGAATAAAACCAACGCACAGCTCAGGTTCTAGAGCCATTTGGTCGTGTCTCAGTTTCGACCCAATCTGCCCCAGCGGCATTAGGATTTGGGAGAGCGGCTGTTACAAAACGGCAACTTCATCCAGCAAAGAGGTGGAGCCCGCGCCACACGCGTGTCATTCCCCATCTTCACAAGCCCACCTCCCTTGTAATAGCACTTAACAGAGCAGATACGGAAGCACTAACCTGGCTCTTGGCCCGACGAGGTCAGGGGGGAGGGAGGAGCAGCAGAACCGTTGCAGCATTACAACCGCCCAGGACTGGCATCGTGTGGCTGTGGCACCTCTGGGACGTTTCCATTCTCACGGCAGTTCATCTCCCATCACATGCTCCAGGGCTGGATAAAGCTGCTAAAAACCTGGAGTGTGTTGTCCCCACCTGAGGCCCTGGATCCTGCAACCCCAATTGCTGTGCATAACTGCAAATTAACGAGGATCGCCTCGCGTCAGCAAGGAATGGGAGTGGGTTGTACAATCACCCGTAGGCGTGCGCTTCCCTTCTGGATTTCACCACCAGAGCCCGGGAAGCGGGGGGCTGTTGGCCAAGGCCGATGCGCCTGTAGCGCTAACGTGAACTCTGGGGTGGGGTGGGGGAGGAACCGTGGTTTTGTTTTAGGAGTTGTCTAACTGTCATAAACTTTGCGCTGTGCGCAAAATGCAGTAAAATGATAATGAAACTTACCTGCTAGAACCTAGGAATCGTAAAGGCTATGCAGCCAAAACTTAATGTAAAGTAGCTAGTACAATGGAAGTACAGTATAAATTAAAAAAAAAAAAAAATCTATCAAACAAACAGCGCGACTCGTGAGTGCTTTGTTCTTTTTATTATCCTGCCTATTCTAAAGTCTCTTCTGTCATTTCCAAATACAGAGAGAGTCTTTTCAGAGACCAACCAGGACCATCTCTCCCCCAGGACACAGCCTGCCTTTAAACACCACCCTTGAGAAACCCCAAACTTTTTTTTCACCCCCTATGAGAATCTTGAGCAAAATTTACACACCATTTTCTCCTGCCTAGAACAACACAGGGCAATAGTCGTATCTGTCTCTGCAGGAACCGGAAAAGTAAAAGATGTGTCCAAAAAAAAGCATCTTGAGAAGATGCGTGTAAGCTACCGGAAGGTGCAGGACTAGAGGATGGCCCTTCTTTACCACCTGAGGTAGCTCTCAAGAAGTTCTCGGTTTACTCCTTTTTTGACTTAACGTTATGACACCAGAGGGTTATCAATGCTTCACGGGGACTGAGGAGCAGAGTTGAAGTGGGAGAGAGGTTACGTGACCTTACCTAAAAATCACCATGGGCGTCAATGCCGTGGTCAGTGACGGAAATTCTGGAGTTACAATCTACTCCCTCCTCTGTCGCTGTGGGTTTAACGTTAGGATTGTGCCCAAAATTGCCCTGAGGCCAGGCAAATTGGCCTAGGGAAAATGAAGATGTCCAGCTGAATTAGAAGAGGAGCTGCTTTTTCCCCTTTTGGATATTAGGTTTTAAGGAACCGGTGCCCAGACTACAAGTGTGCTTCACCTGGAAAACGCGCTCAGGTTGCCAGACTCGGCTCTGGACTTGAGAGCGATCCTACTGTGAAGGCTGCGTTGTAGTAGTTTGCTAAAGTTGACACCCACTCTAAAAAAGGAATTTTGAACAACTGCCAGTTAGAAATCTGGCCTGGGCCTGACTTACAAATGGAGTAATTTCTGTGATTTTAAGCAACACACAAAAAGCAGCAGAACAAAGCAGAGGAAGTTCCATTAGGTGGGAAGCATGCCTTGATTCACAAGCACTTTGTAACTATTTAGAAGCGGTCAGTGTAGCATAATTTGTCAACTCTTGCAAGCAGTATAAGCTCCATTGCAGCAGGGATGTAACAATATCTGCTATATGAAAAAAACAAACCTTCCCCCATTTTGTCTTAAGGTACAATTCCACCCCAGCCAATGTTTCTGCCTTTTTTTCCTCCTTGTAATCCTAGTTGTTGAGCTCAGCTGATCTACATCTGAGGCCAGAAAGCAAATTTTACTCTGCTTAATCCACTACAATCAAAAAGGTAGGTCTGCACAGGAAACATTGAATTCACAGCGTGATTCCTGTGCAGCAGTGGAGCACTTATGAATGCTGACTGTTCAAACCAGTGACCAATTATCACATGACAGAATTACGATTAACTAGGAAAAAAATAAGCGTTTTCCGTCTATTCCTCTAGGTGGTGCTACACTACAGTATGGGAAGACTGATAGCACAGTTACAAAAAGTAGTACTATTTTGCAAAGCTGTCCGTCCTTTCCCTGTGAGGGCTGTGCATCCTATTTACTTTGCTCGCCTACTTGCACCAGGCCATCTTCCTTTCGGGGGTTCCCCCAGGAACAGGTGAACTGCATACCGTGTCCTACTGGCTTCCCTGTTGTTGCAGAACGCGGCTCCGCAGGTTACTCCTATCACTGTGTCTCTGCGTACTTGAGGAGTAAACCTGCTATGCAAGGCAAATGGAAGGAACGAAGAATTTTGACGCTTGCTAAATGAAACGGGTGGGTACAGGGGATTCTTATACTTACGTCATACTGCCTCCCAAAGTAGGAGTACTTCAGGATCTGTATTCTCCGTTCCCTCCTTCAGAAGCAAGTGTGAACATGGCACAGGGACTCACCCTTCCTACTACAGTTTCAAAAATTCTAATGCATTACAGTCCTCATCCTGCTCTGCCTGTGCACGGGCAAGCCCAAAGTCCAGATCAACAACTAATTAATTAAATTCTTCCTGTTTGAACACTGGTAAGACTGCTTGGGCTGTAACATACGGTGGAACATGACCCTAAAATGACCCGATTCCCAGTCCTGCAGGTCAGAGTAACATGACATACATACCCTTTACCTCTGCAATGGAGAACTAGCATATTTAGCAAATAAAGGTGGCGGTGACGGCAGCTGAGAAATGACACTTAACATTTACAAAGCCATTAACGTGATGATGGGACTGAAACCTGGGAGGGAGGCGTGTTGCCCACTCCCCTGTGCCCTTTGCTCAGCATGCTTCAAAAGAAGAGTCCTTTAGCAAATGGGCTGGCAGCTCAGAGTGGAGCCATGAGGCCAAAGTCAAGGCTGTACAAAGTCCAAGGCAAATAGAAGAGAATTTACACTTCCCCGTATTTCGTCCCGACGGCGCAGAGCTCCCCCTCAAACCTGGCTGGCATGACGCAGTCCTTCTGTCTTCAGAGCCCCTGCAATCGAGAGAATTCCTCTTGGAGCACGAGTCATTTGACCTTACTGAAGTGAGGATCGTGATATAATTAGCATGATAACTGACAGGACGTGAGCAAGACTTTAAAAGATCTAGACTTTGGTCTTTTGCACACGAAGTCCTTCCCACCAGATGCCTCCTTTGGAGATAGTGCCCTCGTATTCCTTCTGAGCACAGCTCCCCATCTGCAGGGGACACCGACTATTCCCAACTCCACAGGAATGGGCAAAGGAGGAGTAATTACACCATGGCCTGAAAGTGAACGTGTGTGCTGGTTAGGGGTTTAAAGTAATATTAGTACACTCACCACCTAAAGATACCTATATTGCTTCCAAGGTCACTGGGGAAGCTGCAGGGAAGGAACACAGCCAGACTCCAGGAGTCTCCCATCCGCCTTTTCTCCAGCCCCACGCACACCTAACCCGCTGTAGTAAGGCTGAAAGGTTGACAGACACAAGCAGTGATCGACTGTTTCCTCGTCGCCTACCTTGGTGCCGTTCGTGCCGCTGACTCCTCTCCGCTATTCCTCCACAGGCACAGCACAGTTTTCCTTGTTTTCTGATGGAATCGCAAGATAGTCTGTCCTGTAGTTGGAGGGAAGGAGGAAAGCATAACCTCAAGTGCTACAGTGCAAAAACCCAGTTTGGGTCCATTCACCCTTACAGAGATCTTGAATGCCTCTAAGTATCTCTAAGGTAACAAACGTCGCCTGTAGAAGATGCTCGCAGTAGGAAACACTCCTCGGCATAGTCGGGAGCAGACACCAAGTCTCCCCTACTGTAAAATCCTACACATACAGCCTTCCTACCATGTACAAAGAGCACCCTTACCCAAGCCAAGTATGTAGAAAGATGGGAATGGGCCAGTATAAAAGTCGGAACATCTCTGCTGCGTCAACTGCATCTGTGAGTCAGATCTCTGAAAGCAGGCCTTCCAGGAGAGCATCTCTGCGCAGTTCAAACCGGGCCACTTTGGAATACCGTGCACCGTGGCCACCCTCCCTACCTGGTGCGTTGTGCAAGTGCACTGTCTCTTTTGGCACTCCTAAACATTGCAATGATTCCAGACATAGCAAACATCAGCTAGAAGCGTGTGGTAGCCAAGTTCAGTCTTCTTGCAGTCTGATCTGGACTGAGACATCTGAAGAACCCTCGCAGAACAGCTCACATCTGGAGAGATTTCACACTTACGCATTTTCCTGGGCAGCCTCCTCTGCCTTAGAGACTTTCCTGTAGCAATAGACCATTTCTATCAGTAGCCACAAGGTGAGGAAGACCAGCAGAATATACATCATAATTTCAGAGATGACCGAGGTGAAGTCTTCTCCAGCTGTTAAGAAAATGAAATAATCTCTGATCATTCACATGCAGCTATTGGAGCACAGCAGCTCCACTGACACTTCCCACCCTCACGTCATCCTTCCTAACCCACCTTGCCAGAGATACCCAGGTGCCACTACGCTGCGAGGGGACAAGAGACAGGGAACAGGCGAGGCTGCCAACAGGATATGCCAGCAGCGATCCCACTGCATGTTTCCAGCGGAATCAAACACGCACAGGCTTGCATGTGTCTTGCATTCTCTGCCACCCACACATTCATACAGATTGCTCACCGTTAGCCTATCTCATCTTCACGCTCTGTTTCCTTTGTGCGTCCTACTCGCGGGCGTTACTTGACTGTATTGTGCCGCCAGTGATTTGAAAGAGATCAAAACACAGAGAAGCTTGTGGGGAAGAAGGGAAGGGAAGACACAGCAGAAAAAGATGAGGGCTAAAAGCTCTTGTCCCTCCTCTGAAGAGAACAGCAGAATTCCCACAAGCCAGGGGGATTTCTAACAAGCCAGGATTTCAGCACTGAACTGAGCAAAACCAAGAGGAACAGAAAGATTCGGGAGCACTGCAAAGGGAAGGAGAGATTGGGAGAGGGTGGAAGCAAGAGACTGGTATCAAAATGGAGAATGAGTCGTTCCAAGAGGGAGGGGGCGGAAGCGAGGAAGCAGAAGCTGCGGGAACCCTGGCGAAGGCTGTGCTGTAGCGTCCTAGAGCCGCCAGGGGAGAAGCGAGGGTTCTGAGCGGAGAAACTGGAAACCTCTGCTCGCTCCTTGTGCCTGCCCAGCTGTTGCCCCGGCCTGCCAAGCTCATTATACCTTCCCACATTCACACAACCACTCTGAGCCTAAAGAGAGGCTGCAGCCGGCAAACAAAATTCAGGAGGTCTTCCCTCCTGAACCCTGTGTAGTGTTTCTTGCTGGCAAAGACAGACACCATTATCTGGCAGCTCAGTCACCCCTCTCCTGCAATGCAACGACAAACCATGTCCCTGGATGACAACACCCACGACGAGTTAAGGCACAACACGCTTTCTGCCAATCCTTCGTACCCTCCTCCACCACGGTGAGGTGGATCAGTCTGGAGCTTGTGAAGAGAGGTCGGTGAATTTCGAACTCAAACTCCCGGGTGATGTTACAGGTGTAGATACCCGAATCGTTCAAGGTCACATTTAACACAGTGATGGATACATCCTGCATGTCTTTACTCCCATTCCACTGTAACCGACCACTGAAGCGGCTTGGAAATTCATGGTTCGTTTTTCTGTACTCGTAGATCTGTGAGGAAACACGAAGGGATATTCTGATTAATCACTGATGCATATCTCGGACAACAACACAGCATATTGCAAGGAGCAACATCATCCTCTAGCTACACACATGTATGTTCTGCGCTACGGCTTCCTTAGTAACAGCAGCTATTCATAGTCTATCATCCTTTACCTCAAAATCTCAGACTACTTTACAAAAGACAGAAAACGGAATTACCTCCATCGCAGAGGTAGAAAAACTAAGGCACAGAAAAACAGAGATGCACGTGGACAATGACACACAAGATCAGCAATGGAACTAAAAACTAGGGTCCTGCAGTCTTCGTGCCTAGCCTGTCGGTGACTGCATGTAAGATTATCTTAAGAAGGAACCACAGAATAAATACAGCAAAGACAGTCAGTCGTTTTTGGTACGCCTTGGGATATTCAGCTGAAATGGAAGTGTTGCAGGGTAAATATGACAGCGTGAAAACGGTACATCAGAAGAACAGAGCTTGGATGGCTTTCGCAGGCCTAATCTCTTGCAAGTTTCTGGCTGACCACAGTCCCCATCATTAAACTGCCCGCCCCAGCTCACTGTCATTAGCATTCTTGGGGTTGCCACTGGCAAATGTATCACCCAGCTCACTGAAAGCAAATTCCCATCTCATTCCTTGGCGCGGTCCCTGCAGTTCTCAGGACAGTAGGAGAATATTTGTCATCTTGCCTGGCCCTGCTCAATTGCAGTGAAATGCAACCACTGATCTAATGCTTCATACTCAGACAAAATAGTTAGAAAGAAATACGCGCACTCAGCCTTTATCTTATTCTCCGTTTTACCATTCTTTCTTGAATTCCAGTTGCCCCTCGTCTGAATGATTCCCATGTTGATTCACTCTGAAAACGAATTTTACCTTTTCCTGACAGGGATCCAAAACAACTCACAGAGATCCTCCCACAGTCAGGATACCACAGCTTTCTCTGAGGCAAAAAGAAGTAAATCCTGTCCTGCAGATTTATCAGAGCCCAACTTAAACTCCAAAGAACAGCTTTGGGATTCAGAATTATCTTAAGAAGGGAGATGTGGCCAAGGGTACCAGGTGTCACTCCATACTTCTGTTTCCCTTCTTGATTTCCTTACGTACTAGACATTACGTATTCAAGGAATGGAACTAGAAACTGACATGCATGTATGTACGACCCCAAATGTTTGAACTCGACAAGAGATTCTAGCTTTTCCTGCCATGAGTTCATGCTGTGCCCAAGCGTGGAAGTCAGCTAAGTGAGGAAAAGACACTTTAGTTACTGCTCAAAATCGGTGCTGTGGAACCTCTGGGTGAAAATGCTGCAGAAATTGTGAAGATCTGCAGCTTAGAGCTGAATTCCAGGCTCGTCTCTCCTCCGTGATACGAGAGCAGCATGCTGGGCATTTCTATAGACTTGGATAAGAATGGGGCAGAAAGCTTTTGTTCACATTTGGGTCTCTCTCCTTCCCTTATACAGTCTTCCTTGGGGATCCTGCCGCAGGACAAACTTACACTCTCACAAATACCTTCTGGCTTCTCCCACATGAGTTCGCTGGACTGTGCTTCACAGTAAGATCTATGAAAACAAGGGCTCAGCTACCAAACATACATACAGGTTCATCTTTTCCACCCTCCGGCCTGTAGAACCATTCCACCACTGTGCTGGCTGTGACCTCTTCCCTCTTCATACAGGAGATGCAGAGTAGCTTCATGTGCCTCCCTTGGACAGCCTCTGTCTCTGATGGAACTTCAACACATACTGCAGAACAAAAACCAGCTAGGGAGAAGGAGCAGCAGAGAAGAAGCGAGACAGAGAAGCGTAAGACAGAATTAGAGAGACATCAGTGATCCACATCTCGGCATTTTATGATCACATCATCCCCAATGGAAAACTGATTCGTTACTAGCGCCCTCTGACAACAGATAGATCTCAAATGTCAAATTTTACCAAGCTTCCTTCTCTGAGATATAAATAATTCATAATAATGAACACAGGGTGACCACTTCAAGCAGATTCACCTCTCCAGCATCTCCTTTGCCACAGCTTTAATTTTTCCCATAGTAATTAATGCCACTTTAGAGGCATTGTTCATTCTCTCCCATGCATGCTGAGCATGCTCCTGTTCCAGTAGCAATTACAGTCTGCTATGAGAGAAAGCCCAGAATTCAAGCGTGGAGGAACAGCTCACTCTTTGTGCTAAGTTAAAAGGTCTGGATGTTTTAATCTGGCAGCGTGTTCAAAACAAACTGGGAGGATTCACCACCCTTCCTGTTTCTAGGTTTCATAAGCAGTACTGGGAACCAAGGGGCTTCGACTCAAGTAGATTGG